CAGTTGTCCAGTTTTTGTGCTCTCGGGCCCACTGTAAACGGTGGCTTCGGTGGCCATCTTTCAACGGGAGGCAGAGTTCAGGACGGCGGGTGAACAGGCCCCCTTTGTGAAGGCGTCTGGCCACAGTAAACCGCGACACTAGTCGATCCATTGCTGTACAGAGTTTCTGAGCAATGGTGCTTGCTGACTGCTGTCGACCTCATTTCGCCTGTAGGATGATATATCGGTCATCTCCTGCAGTTGTCGTCCTCTGGTGGCCACCACCAACCTTTCTAACAGATGTACCTGTGGTTTGGAACGCTTTCCAAGCGCGCGAAACGACAATTTTGTTGGTTCCGAACTCTGTAGCTACACTGGTGACAGTACGCCCCTCCTCCAGCTTTCCGATCATTCTTCCACGTGTGAAATCGTCCAGGTGATTTTTTTCTAGCCATATTTCACGAACTGACTCACTGGCACTTGCAGCGAATATGTTGAATTGCGTCTCCGTCCTTCATTTTATTCTACTGTTGAGCAGCCCGCGCCGACGTCACGCGTTTTGCGTACACTCACATCGCTTCTCACGTTTTGTTCCTGATATTTGCATACGCATGACGTTTCTACTGACTTATGTGTTCACTGTACTGATCTCCAGACCTCCTTTTCTGCAATTTCATGGCTATCTGCTAAATTTTTACATTGTTGCTTAAGTTTTGCACACCAGTGTACATTCATAAACCTAGTACCTATATTTAAGATACTCAAGTAGTTCAGCTAACAAATGCATCCTTATTTTGCATCTTGTTTTATACGTTACGTTACAAGCAAGTACGAAATATTAAAAAAAAATTGTCTGGGTAGTGTTTTTGCGAAACATAAATACTTAACTCCCCATTTGCGCAAATCTCTTTGAAAAAATAGTGCATATGCGAAATATAGTATTAAATAACTCGATTTGTGATGCAGGTGTAGCTTTAAATGTCAAAGGTCAGAAAGATCGAAATTGCGTTTTAAAAACTCTTTTCAGTCTTGGAATTTTGAAAAAATAAATATTAATTCACATTCATAAAATTGAGCAGCGTAGAATAAAAAGCAGCAAATAGGATTGGAAATTGATGAATCAATTATAAATTTGGAATTACAAGGGACATGTAAAGCATATTAATTTGAAAATACTGTTATAAGCTAATACGAAATTAAATAGCTATTTAATATGCAATTAAATACTTTATATAAATTAATGTACTATTAAATACTCACGTATATTATTAGATTAAACATTCTTTGATATATTAATATTAAATACTTGATACGATAATTAATTTCTATGTGTTATTAAGAAGGCTTAACTTCGCGAGTGATTTTAAATAATTCTAAATTACGTTTCTAAATGAAGTCTTGAAATAGATATGTTTAAGGATAGAATATTTAAAGGTCATTTAAAATATTTTTGAATGTTTCATATTTTAGCTACATTATAATAACTAAATTAAATATTAAATCGTATAGTAATGTGGTAGGATATATTTAAATGTACAGATGTAATAAAAGTAAATTGAATTTATGGTAAATATCGGAGCAACTATTTTCACAAAAGAGATTGTTTCATAAATATAGTATAAGGAAAGGGAATTTTTTTCTCTAAATAATTTTTCAAGTATCTTTTTCTTTAAGAAGTATCACTGAAACAGAAAAATGTTATAACACAGGATGATTCAAAACTCATACGTCGACCGAAATTCTGTTATTATTTATCCTCAAAAACTTCAATATATTGGATGAGTTATACTAAATATTCTTATTCAATTTAAATCATAAAAAATGAAAACACTCTTGATGAAATTATATTCAGAAATACTTTGTTGTGGAAAATAGATAAAATTGATTAGGAAACATTTTAAAATTCTTATGATACTTAATATGGGCTATATTTAAATTAATACAGGGATTCATCTTCCACTTTTAAACTTAGTGCAAGGTTCTTCAACGTTCTAATGCTTTTCCTTAAAACAGTTTTGAATTGTAAATGATTATGTGTTGACACCAGTAAGAAAATGTCAATTCATTTCAATGTTGAAAAACTGTCAAAGCGAAAAAATGTACTTTATGATTCTTACATAAGATGCATTAATGCGTAAAGAATACAGGGAAAAAAATACTGTTTCAAAATCAAATCATTGTATGCATTCTAAATCAGCTCTAAAACAAAACTGCATTCGGGAGTAAATTTTCTCTCGCCCAGAAGGCGACATCGAACCACTCTGACTATCACCAACTACGGGATTGAAGCCCACACACCAGACCGCCAACACTCATTTGGACATAGAACAGCCATTGCTCGCTTTCTTTTATAACAAACCTTCAACATTAACATAAAAATAGTGGTTGAAAACATATTCTGTACCCTTCCGTACGTTCTCATAAAAAAAAATAAAAAAATACTGTGTTTAGAGATCAACCCGATTCTAAAAGTAAAACACCTTGGTCCAATATTGCGCTTGTCTAAATTGAAATATTTTT